GCCAGCCAGGTCAAGCTACTAGACCCTTTCACAAAACACACACAAAACAGAAATAAAAGTAAGAGTGGATACAAACTGCAGAAAAGGCCATCCTTTGATAAGTCCCAATCATCTACAACACCAAGTTCAATCAAACTCCCAGCTGTTATAGCCACACCTTTCTCCCTAAGGTGTCCTTTACTCTAGCTGTGGCACTTTGTGGTTTTCCTGACCACATATGCTATTTTCATGCTCTTGTGCCTTTGCATGTATTATTTCTCTCTGCCTAGAAAGCATTTTTAAAAGTAAACCACTCATAACATTAACACTAAGTTCAACATCTAAAAGGCCTTCCATTACCTAGCACATTATGCATCCTTCCTGTACAGCACTGGCAGTCTGTACTGCCCAAGTATATCCTATTCAAAGTTACCACCATGCAGGAACCAAGTGAAATCAATCCTGTGTTTGATAAGCTCCTCCTGAGCAAACCACCTTATATCAACAGTTTTAAGAAAGGCTATAATGAGAGGCAAGAAAAAGTAACATTTTTGTTACTGAAGTCATTATTTTCTCAACTTCATCTTCCCTCCCTGTTAGTTTTCAACACTGAAGATGAAATCCAGAGAATGCTAAGCAAGCACCACCACTGACTCCCAGGGCCCACCCCTAATCTATAATCCTCTGAATGCCACTCAGGAGCCAGCAGAATGGGTTGCCTCACATGTATCAGGCCCAAGTCCTCTACCATGGAGTCATACTCCTAGTGTTGTCATATTTCTAGCTATGTCCTAGAGCAACTCACCCAAATACTCTCAAATCACCTCACGGAAAAGTACAAAAGAAAAGCTAATCCCTTTTACAGTTGCTTGATTTGATATACACCTTCTAAAACACACATACAAAACAAAGTACAGGATAAGTGATACGTAAGTGAATATTTTAAACAAGTCTTAAAAGAACAAAATACTGTAGTATCAGGAAAAAGAATATAATAGAATTTTGATAGGAACCATCTTTTTATTTAAGAGGGGAAAATATGCCAGGTGGTGGTAGTGCACGCCTTTAATCCCAGCACTCAGCAGCCAGAGGCCGGTGGGATCTCTCTGGATTCAAGGCCAACCTGGTCTACAGAGAGAATTCCAGGGCAGGCTCCAAAGCTACAGAGAAACCCTGTCTCAAAAAAACTTAAAAGAATGCAGCTGAAACAAGCTATCATTATTTTTCACTCTTTTGGGGAGTTTGTTATTTATTTATTTATTTCTTATATTTTTGGTTTTTCGAGACAGGGTTTCTCTGTAGCTTTGGAGCCTGTCCTGGAACTAGCTCTGGTAGACCAGGCTGGTCTCGAACTCACAGAGATCTGCCTGCCTCTGCCTCCCGAGTGCTGGGATTGAAGAAGTGCGCCACCACCGCCCGGCTTTCAGCAGCCTTCTTTTGCTCTCTGGAGTAACTCTTTAACGACTACTATGTCCTTCCTTGGGTTCCTGTAACAATATCAATCCTGGCCCCTTTCACCACAACTCCTGTCCTCTTTGTGTGACTTGCCTTTCATTGACACCTAGAGGTAGATACTCCCGTCTCAGTTCTCAGATAGTTTCTCACCACTTCCATTAGCCTGACCTTAAATTAAGAATCCCCCAGCCCCTGTCACACACTGAAACATATTTCAAAATTAAAATTATCCAGGGATGGGGAGACAGCTTAGGGTTTAAGGGTGCTAGCTGTTCTCACAGAGAACCCCAGTTCAGTTTTCAGAACCCACATCAGGTGGCTCACAAAGCCTTCTTACTCCCTCTCTTTTGGCCTCCAAGGAGACACACCCACATACCCATATAAACTGATTTTTTTTTTTAAAAAAAATTGAACTCAGTCATCTTAGTAGACAATCAACTACAAAGCTTCCATTTCTTCCTTTCATCTCTGCCACTCTGTAGCTTTGGATTCTGTACTGCAACTTGCTTTTGCAGACCAGGCTGGCCTCGAACTCACAGAGATCTACCTGCCTCTGCCTCCCGAGTGCTGGGATTAAGGCATGCACCACCACTGCTCAGTTTTGTTAAGTCTCATTACTTCCACAAGAGCTCCTGACTGATTCTGTCGGCTCAAGATTCCTCATCTCCACTGACAATTACTGCACCCAGAGATGGCTACAATGGACTCATTTCTCTATCACCACCAAAAATTAAAATTTGATCATGACTGACTGTAAAAAAAAATGCTTTCTTTCCCATTCAACGAATAAAATCATTTACTTTTGCTGTTATAGAGTCCTTTACAGTTTTCACCCAAAGACTTTTCTAAGATTAGATTCAACAGCTCAGGCTGTTACTAGTCCCTATTATCTGACTATCAAAATCACACCCACTCTTAAACGCCCAACTCAAAACCCAGTCTTACTTTCTTTTAATAAACATTTTAAATTATGTATACTCCACATGCATGCATATTTGGGCACACACACAGGTACCCACAAGAATTCAGAGGCATTGATTACTTGGAGCTGGAGTTACTGGCTGTTAGGAACTGAATTCTAATAAGAACTCTTAGCTGCTGAGCACCCACCACCCAATCTTATCTTTTAGTCTTCACATAGTAATTAGGAAAGAGAACCTAAATAAAATAGGCACAATTTCCAGTGAACTGCTTTAGGGAAAACCCTGCTAAAGAATAACTAAAAATACCTGAAATAATTTTTAACGATTTTTAAAATTATTCTTTAGCATGTATGTGTACCCAATGAGTTTTCTATGTACACGTGTGCAGATGCCCTTGGAAGCCAGAGGGTCACCTAATGTAGATGCCAGGATCTAAAGGAGCTCTTAACCATAAAGTCATTTCTCCCGCTTTTTAAAAATCACAACGATTCAAGAAGACATTTAATTCAAGATGCCCTTCATAAGTCCAGCACAGATAAAATGCTAATTACCTTTAATTAAGAATATTCTATAAATATTAAAATGTTTTCAACCTGGAGATAGAAGGATGCACCCAAAATTTAAATTCCAATTGTATCTTCAATTTTCTTAAAACTAAAATTTGTATCTTTAAACTTATTTCATGCATATGAGTGTTTTGCTCAAAAGCATGTCTAAAGGGGACATCTGATCCTCTGTAACTGGAGTTACAGATAGTTGTGAGCTGCCCATGTGGGTGCTAGGAATCGAACCCAGAGCAGCAAGTGCTCTTAACTGCAGAATCCTCTCTCCAGCCTCTAAAATTTGAATTTTAAAGAGAACTTTGCACAGCAGCTGGGAACTTCAAAGGTCAAGTAACTCCACAGTAGCAATAGCACCAGGATCTAATAAACAATCCGTTTTATCAGACAGGTGGGGGAGAGTCCAAATGACATAGCCTAAATTTATCACTCCTACTTAAAATAAGCCAATTATTAAAATAAATGAGACTATGACAGGCAATCTTGAGTATCTGTAACAAGAGAGTTACTGGGATGTTTACCTGCAGGTGCAAGAGCAGTAACAATAGATGCAAGACAGATGTGATGTGGAAAGTACTTTTCCTCTATTCCTTTATAAAGGTCTTTTTTTAATTGTGACTAATTTAATCTCCCTTTTGACTCCCAGAACTAGTTCTCTTCTATCTTCATAGTTGTACACTACGAAATATTTTGCTTATCAAGAAAATAAAATTATAGTCTTTTTAAAAAGAACATTAATTATTCTATCTAGTTAAGACACTTGGTAAAAAAAATACATCTTTCCTAGCATTTCTAAAATGGCCATTCAAATTAGATGCACTTCTGAAAATAGACTTGCTCATCAGAAAAATACGCTAAAGTCCCGAGATTATTAATAACATGAAGGAAAGGCGGTGTAATGACTGAAGAGCTGCAGCATTTGAAACAGGATCTGTCTATAACCAAAGCCTGACTCTAGTTCTGCACCCTTGGGAAAGGACTTCTTACAACACCTTATCTGAAAAAGAAAGGTATCTTTTCTTTCCTCAAAATGGCTATCCTGGTAAAATTAAACTATGAGGATAGCAGAGTATCTAACTTAGAGATCTTCAACAAATTTGTTTACTTCATGTAGCACAAAAAACAAATTTAAAAGAAAATCTACTTCCCCGAGTTTTCAACGTACAAAATACCAGCAGCCCGTTTTAATAAATACACTTCATCATTTCACAATCTGGTGAGAAATCTTGCAAGTGACCACGCAAAAACTATCAGGGCTGTACGTATACCGAACACTAAAATGCGAAGGAGAAACGGCCACAGTAAACTGGGCTAAAACGTACGGATACGTTTACAATGTAAAGAAAGCGCTCTCGATGGTAAGGAAGGAGGAATTTAAAATCAAATTGGGCCCAATTCCAAATACATCTTAATAACTCTCAGAGTGATGCTGGTTTATCTTTCCTAAAACGCAACCGCTACGATATTTAAAGCCATTTCGAAACTCTTCAAGATTTAAATATCCTCACAACCAACCCTGGTGTCATTAATGCTTTTTAGAAAGCCTTAGCAGGAACGCATCATTAGCTCCACTGAAGCTATTTGGTGAAAGCTGTTCATGTGCAGAAAGAAGGGAAGAGAGATATTCTGGTGTTCAGCACACAAACTGAGGATTCTGGCTTGCAAAACCACGGCCGCCTCCACCACCACCACCACGGACAAGTATGTGATGGAATTCCTGGTTTTACAATCTAATGTCAAAAGAAGACGATTATAAAGCTATAAATTAAGGGGCACGGTGCACTTCCGTTCCCGTCCCGAGGGAAAAGACACGAAAGTGCGAGCCTGAGAGCAAGCCCTCGGGTCCTGGCTTCATTCTGGGGGTGCCCTTCCAACCGCAAACGGGGGTCAGCCCAGGAAGCACACAACACCACATAAGCTTCGACGGGCTTCGTGAGTGTGGACCAAAGAGAAGTCAGGCGTCCAGGGCGCCGCAGAACGCGAGGCCAAGGCGCGGGAAGGGCCGCGGCTGCGCCCAGAGCCACGGGCAGAGGCATGAGGTGAGCGGGTGAGGCCGGGCTTGCACACCAGCGCAGACACTCACCAAACCATGCCGTAGGCGCCCTCTCCGATGTACGAGAGGTTGGTGTAGCGCGGCCCCACGTCGAACACCTGCCCGCGGACCATCTCCGGGCCCGCCGCCGCCGCCGCCATGTTGGCTGCCTAGCCGCCGCTTTGGGCTCGACGCTTCGCGGCCGCCGCTCGGCTTGTGCAGCGCCTCCCGCAGGGACCGCGCCGCCACCCGTGCAGCCGCCGCCGCCGGCGACCGGGAACAAGAAATGGAAACAACACAGAGGGGGAGAAGTGACCGCCAGTCGAGCCACTGCCTGCCTTCCTGCCTGACGAGCGGGCAGCAGCGAGCGGGAGGAGGGAGGGGCTGCGTCGAGGGGCGCTGGGGCGGAGTCAAGGGCGTGCTCTCTTATTGGCTCCTCGCGGCGCTGGGGCGGAGTCTCGAGAGCCGGCGGAAGCAGCGAGCGCAGGCAGGAGCACTGCGGCTGCGGGGGAGGCCCGTCACGTGCGTTTGGAGAACCCGGCGCTAGGTGGCTCTTGAAAGCCAAGTTGGAACCTGGGAGTAACGACCCCATAGAGTGTCCCTCTGTGCCCGGTCCAGAACGAACTCGTGTGGGACCAGGAACTTGGTGAGACCGGAGGACTCACCATACACCAGCCACTGGACCCCTGAGACTGGCCTCTGGGAATCCGTGGCCCACCACTCTCTGATGAACTTAGACTACCAAACTGAGACAGAAACCAAAAACCATGACCCAGACCCAGATAGATATTTTCATACATAAAAGTGTGAGACAGAAGTGAAAACCAAAACACAAGGCATTGAATCCTTTAATTAGAGGTTTGTTCAAGAAGATTTGCTGCATACTTAAAAGAGTGTTGGAGCCAGCAACCTTGCTAAAGAAAAGAGATAGACAAAATGCAATACTTTTAACTGCAAGTGCTGTTTAGAGAGTTGTGGGTGGGGACACTGGGAAAAGACTTTCAAATTCAGAGACTGAGACCCCGGTGTTGTGTAAGAGTTTCCTGAGATTGAAACATTTTATCCTGAGGTTCTCCTTAAACAGGAAGGTAAACAGCAAAGGAACTATGGGAAGTCCTTGAAACTGACCAGATTCACCAGGCTACTTCTTGCTAGAGTAAGCAATAAAACCTGAGAGTCCCTCTCAGATGAACTCAGGGGAGCTGCAAAGAAGACTCTCAGCCAAACTGTCTGAGAAGCAGAAACCAGCGCCCCCTCCCTGGAAGAGGTTTAGAGCAACTTAAATATCTGGAAGGACACTCTTCAACTTTGGTGGTAGCCGTACTTTGGTCTGTCCTGAGCTCCCTATCAGTAGTGAGTAGCTGCGTGTTGTGTCTCTCCAGGAATCCTTTTGTCACACAACACTCGTTTGGTACAGATGAGCAGAAACGTAGAAATACAGCACGTTTAGAATTGCTGAAACATCTGAACAAGATTTAGGAAAGAAACACGATGTCGTGGGTCAGAACCAGTCACAATCACCACTAAACTGAAGAATAAAATTGGAATCCTATAGTAGTAGGTGCCAAGGAAAGCAATGGTGAGATAGGGACACCGTTTGTGTCCCTGGGAGCAGACTCCTCTATGGCCAACAGTGCCGTCTACCCTGAGACACCAACCCTGCCCTTTTAGACATCAATAAGGATCAACTGGGCAATCCCAAAGATAAAAAAGTAAATCTTTAAAGGGAAGAACTGGGGGTGTCCCTGGGTGGTAGAGTGCATGCTTATCCTATGGCAGGCCTTGGATTCATTTCGCAACACTAAAAGGAACAACATCCCGAAGGGGAAAAAACAAAGCTCTGAGAGTTAAAATTAGTCCTTCGAAATGTATTGGGCCACTCAGCAGAATCCTTTTTAGAAGACAATACCATGGTTCGATTAAGATATATTTTCTTCTGAAGATCAGGATAAATGGATAGGACCATGAAATTAAACCCACATTCACCAACACAAAAGTAGCGGTTGAAACAGTAAAACAGACCTGATGATGCAGCACGTAGGCAGTGTAAACGGTGGACGTGAGAAGAGTTTATGAAGTCGTAGAGTTCCTGAAGGAAACAAATGATCAGGGATAGTGCTGTATGCTTTTAATCACAGCATTTCCCTGCCAGGGCTATGTACATAGTAAGACCTTGTCTTTAAAGAGAGACAAAGTAATTGAGATAATCGTAGGGGTTCAAACGATACAGAGTCCAAGAATAAAACTGAGGGAACCAATTATAAGTAGAAGTCTAAGTGGAAGAAGGTTTTCCTCAGTAGAAGAGAAAATTCAGTGGGTTTGCTAGGTTCCAGAAAATTAATAAGCAGAAGCCAACCTCTTCGATTGCTGTGTCAGAATGTGCTGACAAAAGCAACGTATGGGAGACAGGGTCTATTTCGACTCCCCGTTAGAGAAAACGTGGCTAAAAGTCCTGGTGGCAGGCGCCTGAGGCAGCTGTTCACATTGCAGAAGCCGGAAGCAGAGAATGATGTTAATACTCAGCTCCCCTGCCCCCCCCCCCTTTTTTTTTTTTTGGATTTTCGAGACAGGGTTTCTCCGTAGCTTTTGGTTCCTGTCCTGGAACTAGCTTTTGTAGACCAGGCTGGCCTCGAACTCACAGAGATCCGCCTGCCTCTGCCTCCCGAATGCTGGGATTAAAGGCGTGCGCCACCACCGCCCGGCTCCTGCCCCCACTTTTAAATATAGTCTTCGACTTCAGCACTGAGAAAGGTGCTCTTCGTAGTTAAGGTGGGTCTTCCACCTTCCATTAACACGAACTAAATGTTCTCTCACAGGCATGCTCAAATCCTGTCTCCTAGAAGATTCATCAGCCGGGTGGTGGTGGTGGCATGCGCCTTTAATCCCAGCACTCGGGAGGCGCAGAGGCAAGCGGATTTCTGTGAGTTCGAGACCAGCCTGGTCTACAAGAGCTAGTTCCAGGACAAGCTCCAAAACCACAGAGAAACCCTGTCTCGAAAAACCAAAAAAAAAAAAAAGAAGATTCTATCAGATTGACAGTATTGACAATCATGCATCTTTAAGAGGAAATCTGGGTGAGTGCACACGTTTAAAAATGACATATGTATTCTATGTGTATAACTGGCCTGGTGTGGGTAGAGTCAGAAGAGGGTGTTGGATCCTGGAGTTACAAACAGTTGGGAGCAGCCATGTGGATGCTGAGAACTGAACCTGGGTCCTCTGCAGGTGCAGCCAGTGTCCTTAACTGCTGAGCCATCTCTCCAGCTGCCAAAAGCTGATGCATTTCAGGGATAAAGAACACACTAGTAGCATCCTATCAGAGGATAAAATTACTTATTTGAAAAGCTAGAAACTAGCTCCAGAGTGATGATAGATACCCATAATCCTGCATGTGGAGGCCAAGGATCATAAGTGTAAGGTCATTCTTGGCTGCAAAGCAAGTTGGAGGAGAGTCTGAGCTACAGGAGACCCAGTTTCAAGAAAAAAAAAAACCCAGATACCTAAATACTGACCTTCAGCTATCTTCTCTGTAATAATAAAATGCTAAAGGAAAATGAAGCAAAACTGGCAGCTGTTGGAAGGGTTCATTGTGATTCTCCTTGGCTCATTTCATTCACTCTGAAGTCTTGGTTGCTCTGAATAACTCTCTTAATTTTGCCTTTGCACTGGCTTACTGGGTGGGCAGCGCATGTCGCAAACAGCCTGTCTATGGAAGTCGGTGACAGCTCGTAGGAGTTCTGTCCTTTCTACCATGTGCGCTCTGGGAACCAAACTCAGGTCATCAGGTTTTGTGGCAGGCACCTTTATTTTCTGAGCCATCTCACTGGCCCAAGAATAACTCTTCTTGAGTGCCAGGTCAGTATATCTCCTACACACGGGACAGTGCCATGTGACCTCCCACATTTACGTGAACTCTACATGGCCAAATTACCAGCAGTTAATTGATAAAACCTTAGCTTCGATTTCCCCAGACTTAGAGGGGTTTGCAATAATACCCACCTGAGATACGTATTGCACAGAGTAAATAAGATAACACACAAAGAATCCGGTACATAATACTATGTACCCAATAAAGGTTATCTGTTACTGTTATCTACCCCACCCAGCTCTGTTCCTCATCTTGTATCTAGTGGACAGTGATACCTTTACATAGATACAAACTGTAAATAAGGCTGTAATTGTAATGCCTCATAGGCTGGCGGTAGCTTTGTGGTAGAATATTTATCCAATATGTATTTTGCCCCACTCCTGAATGTAACACCACCTACCCAGTCACAAATTCCCATAAAGTTTAATGTATATGAATCTATTTAAGATTTCTTTTGGTAACTTTTTATGTGTAAGGTGTGTCCTATGTATGTGCATGTATGCGTGTGTGAGTGTACTTACGTGTATGTGTCCATGTGGAGGCTAGAGGTTGACCCTGGGTGTTTTCCTCCATCACTCTCTACTTTAGGTATTTTTTGAGACTGCATTGCCCAGTGAAACTAGAATTCTCATTTCTGCTAGACTGGCTAGCCTTTCGGCCTTCTGCCCAAAACTGGGGGTACACATGCATACTGCTAGACCAGGCTTGTATGTGGGTGTTGGGGCTCTGAACTCAGTTTATCATGCTTTTGTAGCAAGCACCCTACGTTCTGAGCCCTCTCCCCAGTCCTAATACCTCTTTAATATATTTTTGCTACTCGAAAGTATGGTCCCCAGACCCAGCAGCATTTCTAAGAGTTTGTTGTAGCATCTCAGGCCCCACCCCTAACCTCCTGAATGCAGATCTGCATTTTAACAAGAGCCTCTGGTCATTAGTTTCCATCTAAAGTTTGAGAAGCAAACTTTGCATATAACCACTTGTTGGTTAAAGCCTGTTGTATCATCTTACTGAGACTGCGCAATGTCTTGACTCCTCCCAGTGGTGTCTTCTCCAGTTGTTTCTTCTTGTACTGGGATTGGTCTTTCTATAACAAACTTAATCATAGTCATGTCCTAACTCCCATCTTCCTTTTCCTTTTTGTTTTTGGGGCTTGAACCCTGTGCCCTAGTATCCTTCCATACTTCCCAGATAATCAGGAGTTTTGACTGGACCTTAGAACACATATCAAGATTGTGAGGAGCCAGGCGAAACCCAGTAACTATGGCACTGAAACAGATATGATACCACGTAAATGAGTTAAAAGCTCTGGAGGAGCCCTGAAAGTTAAGTGTGAACACCAACACACAAATGCTTCAGTTAGGGGCTGAGAGATGGCTCAGTGATTAAGAGCACTTGCTGCTCTTCAGAGGACCCAGGTTCAATTCCCAGCTGGCAGCTCACAATAATGATTCCAGTTCGAGGGGATCTGTCACCCTCTTCTGGTCTCTGAAGGCACCACACACATATGGAAT